CCTAACGCTTGCTATCGCCAGCCCGCCTTTCGCTGTGAGCTTGCAAAGCAAGCGTTTACTTGAAAGTACCCGCCTTCGGTGCGAGCGCAAGCGAAGCCCCCCGCAGGCTCTTAATTGCTTGCGAAACAAAAGACCCGAGGTTGCTCTTTTGTTTCGCAAGGAAAGCTTGCTCACACCGGAGGCCAACTCGCGCCTTCCGCGACCGTCAGAGCGAGCAAGCTTTCCTTGCGACCGAGACAAGCGAAGCTTGCTCCCTCTCCCTTCTTTGCCTCTCTCTCTGGACTCCGCCACCAGCACTGGCAGCAGCAGCAGCACAGACACATGGGAGGAGGGAAGTGAGGCAGGTGCGGACGGGCCTTCCCCGCTGTCGCCCGCTGTGGAGGCGGAGGCGGCTGAGATTGATGCGCTCATTGCTGCCAGCGTGCAGCCGCAGCTGCAGCAGCAGCAGGACGAGGAGGAGAGGCAGCGGCAGCAGCGGGAGAGGGAGGCAGTGCGGGAGACGTGGCGAGTGGGCAGGGAGGAGGTGAGGGAGCGGGCGCTAGTGGGGCCTCTCTTCAGGGCGCCTCCCCTCTCGCGCTCCCAGCGCCTCGAGCTCCGGCGCAGGGCGCTCACCCTCGACAGCACCGCCGCCTTCCAAGTTGGTCAGTGCACCCACCACCCCTTGGTTTCCATCCCTCGCTCTCACTTGCTATTATTCAGCTGCTCTCTTCCCCTCTTCCTCCCCTCTCGCTCTCATCCCCTTTTGCGGTGTTATATGCTGTATCCCATCCACGTGTAACTGTGCTTGCATGTTCATGGTGCCTCTGACGTTCGCATGCATGCACATGCGTGGTGTCTCCATACATGGTGCCCCCTCGCCCGCACGGCCACAGGGCGCAGCAACGTGGTGGAGGGGCTGGCGAGGGCCATCCGCCTGCACTTCACACGCCATGCGCTCGTGAAGGTGGGCATCCGAGGCCGGGCGGCCGGCACGCCAGCACAAGAGATCGTCAAGCAGCTCGAGGTCAGGGGGGGTGCCAAGGGCATGCCTGGGTGCGCTTTTGCCTCCCCACGGGTGTGTGCTGCAGCTCATTTGGGTTTGATCTGACTGTCTGTGACACTAACTAGGGTGGTGTGTGCTTTGTGACATGTGCAGGAGGCGACTGGGGGGGTGTTTGTGTCGCAGGAGCCGTCCAAGGTGGTGCTGTACCGCGGGTGGGAGGACGGCCAGCCCGCCCCCTGGGAGGGGCCTCGTGTGATGCAGGTGACGCCGCAGATGGTGGCTGCCATGCAGAGCGAGGCAGGCAGTGACCTGGGCATGCAGGCCCTTGAGGGCGTGGATGGCGCGGAAGGCACTGGGAGTGACGGGGAGGTGGAGGAAGAAGGGGAGTCGTGGACAGACCAGTTCGATCAAGATGGCACCGAGGTGTCCAAAGGCGATGTAGGGCTGCTAAATGGCCACCAGCACAGCGAGATTCGTGATTCGTAAACCAGATTCGCCAATCAGTTTCAATGATGAATAAAAATGTTCTTTAATATCTGATTTTTTTTCTTCTTAAGATGTAATCATTGGCGTCGATAACTTCTCTCTGGCTTGATTGAGTGCTGAAATCAGTAAGGAGACAGAAATGCCTACAATTTATTATTCCCAAGCTGGTTCTAATCTGATGTTTGAGCCAAAATGAAGCTTCGTTATTAGCTCCAACAGCACCCACCTCCGGTATGGGCAGCTGCG